TTTCCATCATAAATATCACGCACAGAATTTTCTGTTGATACCCTTTTGTTTACAACTTCATCATAATAGTTTTCATGAAGTTTCAATAATTTTCCTATAGCTTCAGAAGGATTTATCATAGCAAAAAAATTCGTATTAGTGTGGTTGATTTGACCGACATTTTGACCGCATGATCTGCACTGACTTTCCAAACTCAATTCTTCCAAATTACCAACATAATCATTGCAATTTGAATTGCAAATCAACAGAGTCATTTTTGTTGAAAAATTTGTCTAGCATATATCGTGATTGCGGTAAAATGGGCTTTATGAAAATAGAATTTACAAGGGAAATTAGATCCGATAATGTACTCATGGGCAATTTATGAACAGTACTAAACTCAAGTATTAAAAAAAGTAAAGTTAGAGAACTAATGTTTATAGGTGTAGTATTATTCTCATTAAAACCTTCCGATTGTAGAAGTTCTTCAAGGCTTTTTGGTCTTTTTTCTTTTTTCTCGAAAAACAAAATATTTTCAAAATCATCTTCATTGCAATCAAAAAATTCATTCGGTATGTAATACTGTTGATTAATGGTACTTTGTGATTCAGAAACATGTATCTGATAAAATATAATGTAGCATGATCAGAAATCATATTGAAACCATAAGGGTAAAAAATAGTTTCTAATTACTTCAATTTATAAAGATGTGATGGGTTTGAAATACAATAATTAATATACAAAAGATGTTTTAGAAAACTTATTAAATTACAAAATACTTTATCATGGCCTACACTGCTTTTCTAAAGTAAGTATGAAAAAATAACTAAATAATATTTTCTGTAGGTTAAATTTTATATATGAATTCAAATTTATGACCAAAAATCATATTTATAACCTCAAACACTCATAAAAATGTAAAACTAGCATAGAAGTCTGAAAATGAATTAGTTCGTATTCTCCGAATTGGACAATATTGGAATATATTCTTTCGTAAATAAAAATTTTTCCTAAAATTAGATCATTAGCTGACCATAAGACACAATTTGACAGTATTATTAGGATGGGGGAGGAGGCAATTTTCGTAAAGTAAATCCTCAAGTTAGCGCCAGCTTTGTTATTGTCTTTGTGTACAAATGTATATGGGTCAAAATAATACTTTTTTACAAAACCGTGCGCACGTATGTCACCGATCTTGACGCGCTTTTGGTATGTTATAGTACATGGTAAAAGGGTCCCAAAAAAAATTTTTTAGACCCCCTCCCCCCTCCTACCCCCCACTTCCGGTATAAACGTCCATTTTCGATCTATATTTTTTCTGAGGACATGAAGCAATTAAAAAATCTAAAAAAATTCACAAAAATACTTTTCAACGATCCAAACAACCTTGAATTTTTTCAGATTTTATAAGTGCTTCAGGCCTTCAGAAAAAATCATCGAAGATTCTGAAAATCGAGATACGGCGATACAAGCCGATATAGTAAACGAAAATTTTTTCAGTTTTTTATTGCATTGAAAAACATAACCTCAATTTTTTTCAGATTTTTTCAGATGACCTAACGCACCTTTTGAAGCCAAAAACCGCTTTTTTTGACGAAAATAATTTTTTTAGGACGGTATGGAGCCTCGAAAAATCTGGAAAAAATTTTTTTCTCGTTTTGTTCATCAAAATACATTACCTCAAATTTTTTCAGATTTTTTAATTGAAGGCGATAGCTTCTAGAGCCAAAAAATGCTATTTTTAACAAAAAAAGGTTCCTAGAACCCGATGGTTCCGGTGAAAAAATTTGAATAAATTTTTTTTGAATTCCTTGTCAAATTTTAATAAATTTTGACCCTTTAAAAAGTTTGATTGGAGCTTCCTAGCTCAATCTAGAGCAGGACAAAGATTAATGCAAAATTCTGAAGACGTTTCTGAAGACACATTGAGAAATGATGAAACTATTTTGATGCTCTGGATTGAGCTAGGAAGCTCCAATCGAACTTTTGAAACGGTCAAAATTTATTAAAATTTGACAAGGAATTCAAAAAAAATTTTTTCAAATTTTTTCAATGGAACCATCGGGTTCTAGGAACCTTTTATTGTTAAAAATAGCATTTTTCGGCTCTAGAAGCTATCGCCTTCAATTAAAAAATCTGAAAAAATTTGAGGTTATGTATTTTGATGAACAAAACGAGAAAAAAATTTTTCCATATTTTTCGAGGCTTCGTACCGTCCTAAAAAAATTATTTTCGTCAAAAAAAGCGGTTTTTGGCTTCAAAAGGTGCGTTAGGTCATCTGAAAAAATCTGAAAAAAATTAAGGTTATGTTTTTCAATGCAATAAGAAACTGAAAAAATTTCCGTTTACTATATCGGCTCATATCGCCGTATCTCGATTTTCAAAATTTTCAATGATTTTTTCTGAAGGCCTGAAGCACTTAAAAAATCTGAAAAAATTCAAGGTTGTTTGGATTGTTGAAAAGTATTTTTGTGAATTTTTTCAGATTTTTTAATTGCTTCATGTCCTCAGAAAAAATATAGATCGAAAATGGACGTTTATACCGGAAGTGGGGGGTAGGAGGGGGGAGGGGGTCTAAAAATTTTTTTTTGGGACCTTTTTACCATGTACTATAACATACCAAAAGCGCGTCAAGATCGGTGACATACGTGCGCACGGTTTTATAAAAAAGTATTATTTTGATCCTTATTTATTTTTGAGTTCAGAATTTTTTTCGAATTTTACCACTTTGCGCACTCGCTCGCCCCTTGCCCGGTTAATGGTTATAAAAGGACCGAAAGCAGTTGTTTTTTTTACATGCGGTGGATCGGAATACATTGTATTTGACGTGTACATGTGTTATTACGCTATTCGAGTTTTACAAGTGTGTGGACTCAACTTATACATTTCCTACTACGCACTTGACGTGGCCTGTTTAAGATCTTTGTTGAAAAAATTGAACGTGGGCGAAGCCACGACGTGGTCGCTAGTATTAACATAAAATGAACGACCACTCAAGGCACTTATTCAATATTTTAATTCATCAATAAATAATTTTTAATAAAAATGTACTTTCGAAGCTACAATTGAAAGTTGAAGAAAATAATTCAAGTACGAGTCATTTTTTGAAAATGTGATTTCCAATAAAATAAAAATTATGAACAGCTGCAAGATGTGAAACATCTTTATCAATTAATTACAGAAAATTAAAAGGGAGGCGATCACCCCCCGCTGGATCTGCACCTGCTTCACGGTGTAACCCTTTTTGTGAAAAACCCCTTTTTCACGGTTCGTACACCAATTGCACCCGTAATAACCGTTGAACTGGATCTTGCCTTGCATAGAAGCTCGTGGTACCGTGCCGACACAACAACGAGTAGCATTAACTTTTATATTTTTCACTTCTCTATTAAGATAGATATCCACCCTCTGATAATTTGTTTATAATTTGTTGATTTTTTCGACAAATATATTCAACATTATCCGCAAGTCTCGCTTGTCATGCCCAAACCATAACAAATGTCTCATAGGTTTACTGTTGGATAAAATTCCACATCTGGTGGAATTTTATTAGGTACCACGTGAATAGTAGTAGGCTGCGTAGGCCATACACTAAACTTGAAGCTCTTGAACACTGGTGATACATCACTATTAAACAATAAGGATACATATGATTTTTTGTGCGTTTCTGGAATGTTATTTCGAAAATTTGCATACAATCGACCATAATACATAATGTCTCGTTTGTGTTCATGACTCGCATATAATATTCATAATTCGAGTTATAAATGCTCCAATTGCAACTGAAAATCAGTTACCACAAAAAGTCATGATCGACGTATCCTTGACATTTATGATCTGTTCACAATCATGACATTCGATGGATCGATCTTCAGAGAAGTTTTTCCGATGTACTTCCTGCGTTTTGTGCAAACTCCATGTCTTCCAAATTTTGTTTCTGGTTACAGAATTTTATCTTACCTGTATCGTGTTTCTGGAAGAACTATTTTACTAAGACTAGTGTTGAATAGTTTAGACAAATCCACTACTGCAGAATTAGATAAGACGTATTTTTCTCTAAATATGATTATACCTCATTGTAATTCAAACTTAATAACAATAATGTTTGCGTCTATGCATCAATTAAATTCATCTTTATTAAGCAAGTTTTAGAGATATGTAAATGACGACTCCTCTTCATGTACGTAATACTCTGCGAGGTGACCAAAATAACATTCATCATCAGATAAATTATCGCCATCACTGCTTCCTGAATACTCATTACTTTCGTCGAAACTAAAATCCTGTAGAATAAATTTTATGTTATTATTATTTTGTTATGTAGATTTGCATGATAACGGTTATGTATATATTGTGAGCAAGGAAGAACAACGACGGGAGGAGACGACACGTGAAGCAACGCCATTGTGTCTTACTGCGCTACTGCGAGAACAACGTAGAGTCCGAGGCTGAAAAGCGAATGTTGAAGCGATTGTCGGAAAAGAAGTCGAGACGAGTGAAGTGATCAGTGAGGCAGTAGTGAGATTGAGCTAGTAGAAAATTGCGTGTGTGAGCATTTGTCAGAGGCAGAGTGAAAGAGGCAGTAGAACGCCGTGTGAGCAACTCAGAAAGAGGTTAAGTCGGCGACTGAATAGCGGCGCCGATCCACGATCCAGCGAGCAAGGTTACCGCGCGAGCGAGAAGTGGTGCTGATCCACCATCCAAGGACTTGGATATAATCTCGCGTTGAGCAGCGAGAAGCCGGCAGGCCTGGCGTCGCAGAACAACGTCAAAGACATCGTAAGCGCTTAGTATTTCGTAATTGCAGTGAATCTTGGTCAATAATGACATTGAGATACCGCGCCGGCCAAGCGAGTAGCATGTATATTGAGTAGGTACTTTCAGGCCAAGAAATAGTGCAGCTGAGCAGCAGAGTCGAGACCAAGATCAACAACGGGTATCACGAGTGAGCAGCATGATGCGACATAACAATTCGACGGTGTGCAAAAGTAGACCACCGGCCGCCATCTCGCGAAAAAGGCATGCCCTTAAGATCTACAAGTGTTAAGTTTGAGGTGCCTTATTCAACACTGAAGTATAAAAAAAATGGTAAAAGTAAAGTGGGAGCTAAAAGTGGCTCAGGCACAACTTTAACTACTGAAGAAAAAGATAAACTTCATGAGTGGATCCTTACAGTAGGGAAAGATGGCTTTCCTCCAACTGCTGATCACATTGTAAACAGTGTACAAAAAATGGTGACTCATTTAAAAAGGCCTAATCATTCCACCAACAACAAACCAGGGCGAGCTTGGTTGAGAAGATTCTTAAGTCCACATTCAAATTACACAAAGGAGGGCAATCGTAACAGAAATTGGCTGCGAGCATGGTTTAAAGAAGTGAAAACCTACCTTGCAAAACACAATGTACTTCATATTGAACGAAACTGCATTTTCAACTGTGATGAGACAGCTGCACTTTTAAACCCCAAAGGCCAAAGAGTAGTTGTAAATAAAAAAAAGAGATCCACCCATGCAAGAGTAGGGTCAAACGACAAAGAGTGCGTGAAAGTTTTAATAGCAGGTAAGTAAAATTTATCTGACTAATGCTTACTCTATTATTGTATTTTTCATGTTTAATGTCTGATTCAGGAAATGCTGCTAGGCAAGTAGTACCTTCCTTGGTGATGTAAGCCTACCAACGATTACCTCCAGGCATTATAGAAAATGAACCAAAGAACACATGACTGTACATTTATGAGACTTTTGTTACAAAAATCAAATTATTTTAGTAGCTCTCTATCCCAACTCCACTTATATTACTCAGCCAATGGATGTAGGCTTGTTCAGTTGCCTGAAAAAAGCTTGGCGTAAAACTGTAACTGAGTGGCGTCTTGAGAGAAATAGTCAAGCACTGGATAAGATTGAATTTGCCAGTGTGTGTTCAAAACTGCACTAGAATCAGTCGATTTGGAAATAGCTTATCTCCTTTTGACGAAAATGCCCTTAATTATGAAGATTTATTTAGCAATGAAAATAATGTTAACTCCAGTGGCACCGAATGCAGTGATTCTCAATTACGAGTGGGTTTTGGGACCCTATCAGTAACGAAATCATTTGTGGATCCTCAAATCATCGAAGTTTTTAAGAATGAAAATTAGCGTAAAGAGACTTGGTGCGGAAAAGAGAAGTATAGCGAATTATTTCGAATCTGGTCAAAGTGGAAAAAATGTGCATCTGAAGAGATTACTGAAGATATCCCTTGGTAAACCTGAATTAAAAATACATAAAATAACTCCACAATTATAAAAATTTATATTTGTATTTACAGTTTTTTTACTTTTTCTTGTAGTAGTCATACTAACTGTATTATGTAAAAATCTTACGAGGGAGGAATACAGTTAATAAGTTACGTTCCGACTCAACAACTGAGGGAACCCAAGTATGGACAGTAGGGTGAGCCGTTTTTAGGCTTTATTTTAGAATCGTTTTGTAATAGTGATTTTCTGTTAGTTTCATGTATAAAATGAAAGCTTGACCAAAACGACCTACAGGACGCTAAAATGATCGTAGAGAACTCTTTTTTTTTAAATTTCTCGTTGAAAAGAGTACTTTTTGACAATGCACTTTGCATTGAGATAACGAAATAAATGAACTCCAGGTACACGTTGAAACGATCCATATTTTTAAGAAATTCATTTATTCAAACTCGACGTACACGACTGGAAACAACGGTGTACCATCGAACACCTAGAATATGAACCTCAATCTCTCCGTAACCTTCTACCCCCCCTGTGAACCTTCTTTCCTGTCGACTGCAAATCGAGCAAGCCAGACGACAATGATCTCTGAGCTCTCTAAAAGTTCTCTTTTTCTATAAATGTATATAAAAATAGTCAAGCTCTCCTTCCTTGAACTATGATGTAAATATAAAAACTTTAAATATGCTCCACTACTGTACTATACTACGCTTGATCATAATTTAAAACATTTAATCTGCACTGTGCTATAGAAATTTAAGCTATTGTACTTATAACTTTGTAACTCTTACCCTCTACTTAAGAGAGTTTTTTTTACAAACAAAATCTATCTTCGTGAAGTTACTGTATTATTTTGCTACTTGGCCAGTCAGGGTTGTACCCCAAAGTCAAATAAAACTGTTTACTCAATCAATCAATCATCAACGATCATTTTTAATAAACATACAGTGGCTGGTATGGCACAGTTTCGTGTTAGATCAAAAAATATTCTTGATGCTTTATATTGGTTGAAAAATAATAATATATACTATAAAGATATAGTAATTTCATATAAAAACTTGAATTCGTTACCGAGGGATGGCAATATTATAGACATGATTTCGAATGTTAACACTGATTCAAATGATGATTTGAGTGTTGAAATAAACAAAGATGATGAATTTGACAATAATTTCGACGAAAATTCAGTATTTTCTTTACCAAGTATAAATCAACAGAATTATATTGAATCAGCATTGAATTTATCATATCCCACTACAAACGAAGTGCCAATAAACGAGTTCACAACAGAAGGTTATATGTCATGTGCATTTCCTACATTGTTTCCCACAGGTAAAAGTGATTTTCTTCAAAACAGATTAATTACTGTACACTGTTTGCAATACTTTAGATATCTGATGATGTATGAAGATGGTCGTTTTGCTAAAGACCCCAGATTTCGGTATTTTGCAATGAATAGAATATTACGTCATGAAGCAATGACTCAAACAAATATATATTTGAAATATATTGATATTGACAGTCAGACTATAGAAGATTTGATAGATCTATATTATATAATATAATGGTACACAGTTCAAGATTGGCATCAACAAATGGATTCTGGCATAAAAGATACAGCGAATTAAAAAGTATGATTCAACAACTTACTAAACCAACTATATTTTTTACACTATCAGCTGCTGACTATCATTGGCCCGATCTATTCACATTATTAGCACCTGATATTCCATTTGATCAATTAACGTCGGAACAAAAAATATCGTTAATGCATACAAATCCATTAATTGTTGCGTACTTTTTTAAAGAAAGAGTAAATATTTTCTTCTAAACAGTTCTAATCCCAATCTTTAAAGTAACAGATTATTGGTATAGATTCGAGTGGCAACATCGTGGCAGTCCTCATGTACATGGAATATTATATTTGTCTGATGTACCTATCGTAGATATCGATGTCATGGACGATGAACATATTACTTTAATTCGATCATATTTTGATAAGCTATGCTGTGCAATAAATCCTATACATGAACCTCCAATTTACCAATCACACCCATCGCAAGTTAATTTTCAGATGTATCACCAATCAATTATATTAGTGATTTAAGTTGTTTAATAAATACATTACAACGCCATACCAAATGTGGTAAACACTGTTTTGCGTAAATACAATGGAATCATGAAATGTAGATATAATTTTCCTCAAGAACTTAAAGACCATAGTAATATAGACAATTCAAACGGATATTACCAATTTTTTCCAATTAGAAATGATCCATACGTACATCGATATAACAATGTTATTACTCAAATTTGAAGTGCTAATACAGATTTTTCACCAATAATAGATAATAAGAAAGTTCTTCAATACATAGCAAAATATACAGCTAAAGGCGAAACGACATCTCGAACGTATTTAAAAATTATCGAAGATTTATGCAAAAGTAATGATACTGAATCATCAGCACGTAAGGGAATAATGAAATTATTGATTTCGTGCATAAGTGACAGAGATTACAGTGCTCAAGGAGTCGTACATATATTGATAGGATGGCCATTATATAAATCGTCACGAAATTTCGTCGTATTACCTATATATATGAAAATAACTGGAAGCCATTACAGGTATACCTATATTAATTTAATGTATTCATAATTAACACTCAAATCCTGCTCATAATTCTATCAGTAAATACAGCATTTTTTTATTGAGGGAAAATTAGACATATCTATTTATCATATGACAAGAGAATTATATTCGCATTTAAATTTATGGTAATATATAATATGGTTTTTATTTCACAGAAAACGGTACGTAAACAAGAAAAAAATAATAACACATTGTGTGACGGGGCACAAGGCACATAAGCGTCGCGCCGTGAATTTTAGAATAAGTCGTGCGAGCATGTGTGTGTGCGCGTATGTTTTCGTGACTTACAGGTCGAGAAGAACAGCAGCAGCGGCAGCAGCAGGCAACGACGTTTCGGCACGTGCGGCGGCGTACGCGTGCGAGAGAGACAGACTGCTGCGCGTGAGCAGACGTGCCGACGCGCAATAGATCGCGGCAGAATAGCTCGAGCAAGCAACACGTTGAGACACATGAGATACACGGCAGCCATAACTTGTTTGGAGGTTATCGGAAAGTTACGAGTGCGAGAGCAGCAAAGTGAAAAGCCACCGCGGATTGTGCTCGTGGAAGACGACACGTACAAAAGCCGACGCAAAGATACGTGTGTGATTTCGCCCAGGAGGGCTAGTTATTGTGTGTGCTCGCGAAGCAGTTGGCCGCAGAAAGGCAAATCTCGCCCAGCCGGGCCCGTGCCAGCCAGTGCACCCGTGTGAGTGTCGCCCAGTGGGGCTCGTACAAGTGAGTGCGCACGTGTACACGGAATTGAACATCGTCGCCCAGACGTGGGCGTAAGAACGCCCCGCGTCGTCGCACGTGCTCAACGACGCCCGGACGAGGGCCGAAGCTAGTGAGAAAAGGAGCCGATCCAACGTCGAGGCGCCGAAGATTTGGGGTTAGTTGTTAAGATTATTTGCGAGTCATTGGTCGACGCGACTGCCGGGTCGCGGGCGCGTGATTGTGTGTGTTCGAGCTTGGCTGACGAGTATCGTAGCGGCGATACGCAGCAAGCATAGTATTGGTGTGCGTGTGTGTAGGTCGACATCCGGGACGTTTGCATCAGGGCGGATCGCCCGCGGCCGAGTACGAAACACATCGTCAAGGTAAACGCGCGAGTGCCACGTCGCGTCGGTACACGTGCACTCGACATCGTCGCATAGATCGCGCGCGCAGCGGCCATATTGGCTCGGCCGATTAGGCTCGTATCACGGGATACGATAGACGCGAGCGCCGAGCGCGCCCCTGGTGGGCAAAGTCGGAAGTAAAGTTGAGTCGAACTTGTGTCTCGTCGCGTATCATTGTAAGATATCGCCCGTTGGGCAATTTGAAGTGGTTTTTCGGCCAGTTGGGCCTTGGATTAAATAAAGCATTATATTTAATCGACATCATAGCCTAGTTATTTCGCGACCGTTCTTTTTCGCGGATTTCAGCATCAGTTGCAGGAGGTCAACGGTAAGCCAGCGAGTCTACAGCAAGCTCGCACTGACGACGGGCCCAATATCCCCTCTGGGAGTACTCGACCAAGTAAGGTGGTCCTATAGAAATTAATTCGACGGCAGGTGATTTGCTGCTTTCTCCTACCCCGGGGTCAGCCGTCCGTCGCAATTGGCGTTTTCAGTAGTAGTATTTCAGTAGTATATTAATTTTGTTTGTATTAATAAAAGTTTCTTACATATATACCTATTTATACATAACTCTCAGTATATACAAGTTAAACTTTCATCGAACAATTGTTTACATTCTGCGCGTATGTCGCACTGAGTCTCCATCTTGGTCGTCGTCAGGATCAAGTCGTTTTCGGGTTCTTTTAAGTCATCTCGGTTCCTCGTCCACATCGCAGTCGCCTCATGATAATCTTCGCCGAAGACATCGCCGCTCTGCGACTGCACTGCCTCTCCAACTTTCTCAAGCCGTTTCTCGTCACTCCGAGCTGCTGTAGATGTTGGTACGTTGCAGCGAGAGTCGGGGTCTCCAAAATTTCGCCCAGCGCGCCGACGACCATAATCGCCAGCTTTACCGGTGCCTTGTACATCCTGGCCAGGGCTTCACAGATGTTAAGGTCCCTGGGTACGGAGTTGACGTTCCGTTCCGTCACGTTTTGTGTCGAGTTCTTGCCGTATCTCACTTCCTTTATTCTCTCTTGGAGTTCGATGTTCTGCAGGTGAGACACGGCGACCTCGAACACGTATACGACGTCCGGGTTTGTCGCGATGATGATGACATCCGGCCTATTGTGGAACAGCTCTGGCTCCGTTTGGATCTTTGAGCCGGCTCTGATCTTGTATTGTCTCTCGCCCCAGGTGTACTCGGCCACTAGAGCCGCCTTGCCAAACCGTAGCTGCGCGTGGATATGTTCGGGGGCATGAGTGCCTACAAGGATGCTCCTTATCAGGGGGTGCACTATGCAATCGTGTCTAGCCGTGTACTCCTGCGTTATGCACGACGAGACGACGTGATATGCCGTTTCGTCGGTATTGCATCCCAGCCTGCACGTTCTGCGCCTCGCAGGGTTGGCTCCCAGGCCATGGACTTGTTCTTCAGCTGCCGTCCTCGCTGTCGTCGTCGTCCAGGTCTCCACTCTGTCGTCGGTCAGCACAGGGAAACGGATCTTGTGCTTCGCCTGCGTCACGAGCCGCGCATAGTGAGACGCCGCAGCCCAACTCTCGATCGTCCTTCTCTCCTGCAAGCGCTGCAGTGAGTTAACGACTCGTTTGCAGTGCGTGGGTAATGAGTCAGTTGGGTCAATTGCTGGCGCTTCCATCCCGTATGCCTCCATGACCTGACGCGCGTTCGTTATCGGATTGCGCCAGCCTGCAGCGGCCAGCCTCTCGTATTCCGCCTTCGTCTCGCGCATGTCTGGATGATGGAGGAGATAGATGTATTTTTTTACATACTGGATCTCGGTCTCGTTCGCCACTGACCTCAGGCCTATTCCGCCTAGTGTCGTTGGGAGATATACGATGACCCTCGTTGATGTTCTTCCCAGCATTCCATGCGTAACGAGAGCTTTCCGTATCATCTTGTCGATATCGTGACAATTTTTTAGAGATGTTGCTCTGGACTCGTTCGGGTAAAGGTTGCCTGTGACGTAAATTATCGCTGGCAGTAGAGTGTTGTTTATCAGCTGGATTTTCTGGCTTGGAGCGAGTTGCGACGAGAGTACCTCGGTCAATTTTTGCTCGGTGCTCTGAACAATCTTGACGAGGTTCATTGAGGAGTCTCGCTCCGTCTGCACAAGCCCGAGGTATTTGTATCCCTCTCTTACCGTAGGCAAGAAAGGGATCTCCTCTTCTGCCTCCTCGTAACGTCGGCCACTTGTACTTCTCACGTACACGCCGCATTTCTCCACGTTCAGCGTAAGGCCTATTTCTCCTGCTGCGTCTTCGAGCTTCCTCTTGATCATTTCGGCCGCTTTTTTTGTTGGCGCGTGGGTCTTGATGTCGTCCATGAAAGCGGCTATCTTATGCCTTCCCTGCGACGCTTTTGTTATTTCTGGATCATCTTCGATGGCTGGTATGATGAACGCCGTCACCAAGATGAACAGCAGCGGGGTCATCGAGTCGCCCTGGTATATCCCTCTCTTGATGTAGATCGGCTCAGTTAGCTTTTCTTTGAGCTGGATAATCACAGCCCACTGGCCAATCATAGCGCGCATGAGGTTTTTGATGTTGTTGTGGACTGGGAGGGCCGCGCCGAGTAGTTATTTCGCCTCGAGAGTCTGGCCGCCTGTGTGCACGCCTTATCCCAAAGCAGCCCGTGTGTTGTACCCCACACGTCTCGTCGTGCAAGCTGCTGCCTGGGTATCATCCAGTCGGCCAGGCTCTCAGAGACGATCGTGCTCAGGACCGCCGAGAGGATTTTATAATCGGCGTTCAGCACTGCTATCGGTCGGTAATTCGCCGGGTTCTCGGTATCTCCTGCCTTGTGCACAAGAATCACCCTCGCTCGAACGTCCGCCTCCTGGACCTTCCTTTGTCCTCCGATGGCCTGGACGATGAAATCCGTAAGGAATTCTCTGGCCGCAGGGAGGAGCTTGTACAAAGCGGTCGGGATTCTGTCGAGTCCACATGCTTTCCAAGGCGGCGACTTCTTAATGGTCCGCGAGATCGTTCTAGCCAGCCGTTCTGCGCTCACCTGCTGCTCGAAGCTCCTTGCACTTGCATAATCGTGCATCCGCTCGAGCCACCGGCTAAGCATCGGCGTACGCCTTCTGTCGCGCACCGGGTCCACGGCGAAGAGACTCCTGTAGTATGTCGTGGTCCTGGCAGGGTCTGGGCTCGGCCTGTCAGTCCTCTGGGCAATGTTGTTCATTGATGGCTTATCATGGAATCTGACTCGCACACCTAGGGCTTCCGCCTTTGCCTATTGCATCTCATATTTTGCTATGAGAGCTTGCAATCTTTCTTCTCCGAGCTTGATGGCTTGAGTGGGTGTCATTCTCATCTTTCTGAGCTCTCTTGCGCGTCGCTGCAGCTCCCTGGACAGCTTCCGGCCGCCTGTGTACTCACGGAGCTTTCTCGCTCTCTCCAGCTGGCGCTGTGCACTTTCAATTTTTCTCCGTGTGTACTCAAAGTTTTGCGGTGCCTTACTAACCGTTTTCCGCTTGTGCTCACCAGTTAAGAGAATCCCCGCTGTGTAGATCGCCAATTTTGCTTTCTTTCGCTTCGACGTCTCACTTGCTGTTGATGCATTAATTTCGCACGTTTTTCACCACACATTGTTGTCTACATTGAGTTAAACTTTAAGACCCATTACAAAACTTTATCAGGCAGTAGTTGACATCTTTAGGAAGCTTTTTACATAGTTTAGGAAATGAAAGTCCGGTTCGAACTCGATTAGATTTCATCATTTATGTCCCTTTGGCAGTTTTTTTGCTTTACACTTACCTAGATTGTTCCAATCACTTTGGCATATTTTTTTTCTGAAAATTTGGACAATTTCCAACAAAAAAGTTGCTGGGCACTTTTACTTTTGAATCATTCTACCCTGATCCAGGAATTATTTGAATATTTGTGATTTTTCATGAATTTCAAAAAAACCCTAAAATGGCCAACTTCGGGCCTCTGAAAAAGAGTGATAGATGGTCCTAAAAATTCTAATAAAATTTGGGGACATTTCTGACATCGGGAACAGCAAGTTTTTCATATTTGCAGAAAAAAAAATTTTTTGGCCATTCGATTTCACAGAGAATCGGCCATATATATCAATAATTGACTCTATACATGCAATTGTAATACATAATTGATTTATATTGTGCACTATGCACAAGTGAGTCTCGTCTCCAATCTTCATTCGTGGTTGGGGGGAGCTGTCCATATTCTGTCCTACTCAGAGTCGCGCGGTCTCATGGTCAGTCTTCTCATAATTATTTTGGCAGTTGCCACACATATGCTGCGACAGCACCGGTTCTCCAGGTCCCTCAGGTCGTCTCTGGTTGCGCCAAGCGGTTGAAGATGCCGGTACGCACTGGCGAGGCCCGGGGTCTCCAGTATCTCGCCCAGCGCACCGAAAACCATGAGGGAGAGCTTCACTGGAGCCTTGTACATCCGCGCCAAGGCCTCCACAAGGTTGTAGTCTCGCGGGACTGTGTCGTAGTTTTTCTCCGTCACGTGCAGGGTGGAGTTTTTGCCATATCTCGTCTGCTTAATTTTTTCTTGGCGGTGGATGTTTTGTAGGTGCGACACAGCGATTTCGAATACATACACGGTGTCCGGGTTCGTTGCCACGACCACAATATCCGGTCGGTTATGGTAGAGCTCTGGGTCCGTCTGTACCTTGGTACCGGCTCTGATTTTTATCTGCCTCTGGCCCCATGCGTACTCCACAACGAGCGCTGCTTTGCCGTACCGCAGTTGTGATCTTATGTGCTCCGGAGCTCGTGTGCCTGCAAGGATCCTGTGCAGGACGTGACGGACTGCGGCATCGTGCCGCGTGGTGTACTCCTGGGTCACGCAAGCTGACATCACGTGATAAGCCGTTTCGTCAGCGTTACACCCAAGTCGGCACTTTCTCCTCCTTGCCGGGTTGGCACCCAGCCCATGCATCTGCTCCTCTGCAGCCGTGCGCGCCACAGTTGCCATCCAGCTGTCCGAACGGTAGTCCGCAAGCGCAGGAAAGCGGATTTTTGGCGCTGCTTTCGTTACAAGGCGGGCATAATGGCTCGATGTTGTCCAGCTCTGCAGTGTCCTGTTCACCTGCGCCTGGCGGAGCTTTTCGACTACTCGTCTGCAGTATGCGTTGAGCGGCTCGTCTGGCTCTTCTTTCGCTGGTATTTCCAGCTCATACGCCTGCATGACATGCAACGCGTCGGTGATGGGGTTTCGCCAGCCCGCAGCTACCAGCCTTTTATATTCTGCTTCCGTTTCCTTCATATCCGGATGATGTTGGAGGTATATGTATTTCCTTACATATTGTGCCTCTGTCTCAGTCACAAGCGATTTTATGCCGAGGCCGCCGAGTGATGTGGGTACGTAGACGAGCGCTCTTGTGGACGTTTTTCCGAGCAGGTTGTGATTTATAAGCGCCTTGCGTATTTTCTTGTCCACATCTGCGCATTTCTTGAGTGTTGTTGCTCTGGCTTCATTAGGGTATAGATTGCCCGTCGCGTATACGGCGGCCGGTATCAGAGTGTTGTTGATGAGTGTGACTTTCTGGCTTGGCGAGAGCTTTGATGTTAGTATCTCCGCTAACTTTTGCTCTAGTATTTGCGTGAGCGTTGCCATGTTTACCGGTGTGTCTCTCTCTGTTTGCTGCAGGCCTAGATACTTGTAACCGTCTCTTACAATGGACAAGAAGGGGATATCTTCCTCGGCCTCGTCGTCGGTGGTCTGACTCACGTATATGCCGCACTTCCTTACATTGAGCAGTAGGCCCAGCTCGGCTGATGTTTTTTCAAGCTTGTTTTTAATAAGCTCGGCAGCTTTCTTGGTAGGTGCGTGTGCCTTGATGTCGTCCATAATGGCCGCGATCCTGTGCCTTCCTCGGGACGCACTCAAAATTTCCGCATCTTCCTCTATGGCAGGTATAATGCACGCTGTGACCAGCACGAGGAGCGGCGTCATTGAGTCGCCTTGGTAGATACCTCTTCTCACGCGGATAGGCGCCGTTTGTTGTCTGTTCAGCTGCACCGTGACGGCCCACTAGTTTACGAGCGCTTTCGTAAGGTTTCTCACTTGCTGATGTACAGGTAGTGCAGCGATGAGCCTCTTCAGCTGCACATGAGAGATCGAGTCGTACGCCTTCGCATAGTCGAACCAGCTCGAGTAGTTTTTCCGCCTCGAGAGCCTGGCTGCCTGTGTGCACGCCTTATCTCACAGCAGCCCGTGTGTTGTACCCCACACGTCTCGTCGTGCTAATTGCTACCTGGGTATCATCCAGCCAGCCAGGCTCTCGGAGACGATCTCGGCTATACACGCAGTCAGGATCTTGTAGTCTGCGTTGAGTACGGCGATAGGCCTGTAATTGGCGGGGTCATTCAAGTCACCAGCCTTGTGCACTAGCACCACTCTCGCCCGGACATCTGTCTCCTGTATTTTCTCTCGGCCGGTGATAACATCTATTATGAAGGTGGCGAGATAATCCTTGGCCGCAGGCAGCATCTTGTAGATGGCGGTGGGAATGCCATCCAGGCCGCAAGCCTTCCAAGGCGGTGACCTGTCTATGTGCTTGTTAATGAGCACCCGCAGTCGCTGTTCCGACATTTGGGACTCCAGGTCCTTTGTGTCCCTGTACTCGTGCATTCTCTGCAGCCACTCGCTGAAGACTGGCGTGTCTTGTTTGTCTCGCTCGCTGTTTTCTGAGAAGAGAGTCTTGTAGTAGTCCTCAGTTCTTTTGAGGTCAGGGAAAGCTCTCTCTGGCACTTGTGTGATGACGCTCATCGACGGCTTGCTATTAAAATTGGCTCTCACGCCCAGTGCTTCGGCTTTCGCCAGCTGTACTTCATATTTGGCCTCGAGAGCTTTAAGTCTCTCTTCGCGAAGCGTGATCGCCTGCGTCGGGGTCATTTTCAGCCTTCTCAGCTCTCTCGCGTGGCTTTTGAGTTCTCTTGGCAGCCTTCGGCCTCCTACATATGCTCGGAGCTTTCTTGATCTTTCCAGCTGCCGTTGCAGCTTCTGGATTTTTCTTTTTGTATATATGTAGTTCTGCGGAAGCTTGTTGGCAGTCCTTCGCTTGTGCTCATTCATGAGCAAGGCCGCTGACGCGTAAATGGCTTGTTTGGCATCTTTTCGCCTTCGTACAGCCGATGTTGCTGTCGCGTTGATTTTCTCAAGCTGCTCTCTCAAAAGCTCGTTGGTCGCTGCTTTAATTCCTTGTTGTACAAAGCCCCCAGGTCTTGCTATCTTTCGCCGCGCCCTCTCCCCCGCGGAAGCTTTGCAGATTGCAAGAAACTCTTTCCGCAATGAGCTCGGCACCTCGAGGGCGATGCGCGGCGAAAGCATCATGGGGTCCTCGGCAACCGTTACGGATTCGTTTGTTTGTTGGATGTTCGGCTGCGTAGATGTTGTCACAGTTTCTTCTGCTGTTATTGTCGTTTGAATATTTGCCTGTGCTGATGTTGACATACTTTCCTCTTCCGATGTTATTGGGTACGTTGCTGGCTCTGATGTTATTGTTTGCTGTAGGTGCTCACGCCGATGGTAAAGTACCGGAAATCTCTCGCGGAGAAGTGTAGCGATAGCTTTTTCGCTTCTTCCGGGAAACTCCGATATAAGGGCGCGTATCTTAGCTGTCTTGGTGTTTCCAGCTACCTCAGCATACCTCACCGCGAGACTCTCCACGTCTTGCTCCGTCCATCTCTCTGGGGCACCGGCTGCGGCGACGGGGTTGTTCCTTGCTCTCCTGATGGCATTGAGCTTCGTTTTCACAGCCCCAGCACTCCTGTATCGACCGGTTGCGACCACGATCCGCGCAGCGACTTCCTCGTAGTCCGCCGCTGTAAGTACACCCGTGTGCTCCACAAGGTATGCCTCAGCGATGTCCAGCTCGTCCCTTCTCCACGTCGTCATCTTCGTCGAAACTAACTTTTGTGCTTCCTAGGGCACCCAGACACTGTGCACTGTAACTGCGAGTAATTTGCAGTGTTCGCGTGAACAACTTGTATCTGTCCAGAACTACCAAACGCTATTTTGCTATCCAATGACAGATGTAACGTACATTTGTCACGGAGCTCACAATTTCACGTGCTGCCTGTTCGGCAGCACAAGTAGTATAGTAGTATAGTGGTCAGTATCCCCGCCTGTCACGCGGGATACCGGGGTTCGATTCCCCGCTGGAGAGCCAAATTGCGACGGACGGCTGACCCCGGGGTAGGAGAAAGCAGCAAATTGCCTGCCGTTGAATAAATTTCTATAGGACCACCTTACCTGGTTGAGTACTCCCAGAGGGGATATTGGGCCCGTCGTCAGTGCGAGCTTGCTGTAGACTCGCTGGCTTACCGTTGACCTCCTGCAACCGATGCTGAAATCCGCGAAAAAGAGCGGTCGCGAAATAACTAGGCTATGATGTCGATTAAATGTAATGCTTTATTTAATCCAAGGCCCAACTGGCCGAAAAACCACTTCAAATTGCCCAAAGGGCGATATCTTACAATGATACGCGACGAGGCACAAGTTCGACTCAACTTTACTTCCGACTTTGCCCGCCAGGGGCGCGCTCGGCGCTCGCGTCTATCGTATCCCGTGATACGAGCCTAATCGGCCGAGCCAATATGGCCGTTGCGCGCGCGATCTATGCGACGATGTCGAGTGCACGTGTACCGACGCGACGTGGCACTCGCGCGTTTACCTTGACGATGTGTTTCGTACTCGGCCGCGGGCGATCCGCCCTGATGCGAACGTCCCGGATGTCGACCTACACCCACGCACACCAATACTATGCTTGCTGCGTATCGCCGCTTCGATACTCGTCAGCCAAGCTAGAACACACACAATCACGCGCCTGCGACCCGGCAGTCGCGTCGACCAATGACTCGCAAATAATCTTAACAACTAACCCCAAATCTTCGGCGCCTCGACGTTGGATCGGCTCCTTTTCTCACTGGCTTCGGCCCTCGTCCGGGCGTCGATGAGCACGTGCGACGACGCGGTGCTTTCTTACGCCCACGTCTGGGCGACGATGTTCAATTCCGTGTACACGTGCGCACTCACTTGTACGAGCCCCACCGGGCGACACTCACACGGGTACACTGGCTGGCACGGGCCCGGCTGGGCGAGATTTGCCTTTCTGCGGCCAACTGCTTCTCGAGCACACACAATAACTAGCCCTCCTGGGCGAAATCACACACGTATCTTTGCGTCGGCTTTTGTACGTGTCGTCTTCCACGAGCACAATCCGCGGTGGCTTTTCACTTTGCTGCTCTCACACTCGTAACTTTCCGATTTCCTCCAAACTAGTTATGGCTGCCGTGTCTCAACGTGTTGCTTGCTCGAGCTATTCTGCCGCGATCTATTGCGCGTCGGCACGTCTGCTCACGCGCAGCAGTCTGTCTCTCTCGCACGCGTACGCCGCCGCACGTGCCGAAACATCGTTGCCTTAAATGTCTGACCAGCTGCAGAAAACAGTCTGCGTAATCAGCAATCTTCTCACTTTTCGCCTGGGTGCGGTGGTCAATATCTCGCCGAATCGTCGTGTCTCGGAGCACTTTCATGTATCGGTCCTCGAAGGCCTTCCGAAATTGGACCCAGGTCGTTAAGTCTCGCTTATTCTCCCGGAACCATCGTTGAGCCTTGCCCTTGAGAATAGCGGGCGTTGCATTCAGGAGCTTATCAGTGGGGATGTCATTGCTCTCGTTGCAATCCCGCACATTTTCAAGAAAATTCCGGGCTTCCTCCCGATTCTCGCCATCGAACGACAAATGCCAACTTTGCAGGACTTTCGTGACCTGTAGACCCGTCATGCGGGTGGGTGGGCTCGGAGCCCGATAGGGTGATCGTTCTTGGCGTTCGTAGGACGCGTCTCGGTCGTTCCCTTAGTTTCTTCGGCCCAAAATCGACCAGCCAGTCCGCTGAGGACCCATTCTTCGTCTGTTCGACTCTTCGCCATCTGTCTCGGGCTCCGATTCTCGATCGTCCGCCCGTTCCCACTTCTTCTGGCGATTCGCCCGATCTTCATCTTGTCTACCTGGCCCTCGGGCTTCCAACTTGACTCTTCGTTCGGTGTCTTCGTTCTCGTTCCTCGCTCGCAACTTCTCTTGACTGTGGCTGTGGGTGTGGTTGTTTTCTTTCGGCCAAGTTCCTCACGGCGTTTGTGTAGGATTGCTCGGCCAAGTCCTTAATCCAGGACCCAATTGCGGGAGATCGTAGCGTGATGAGCTTTGTCCGACGGCCCTGAACTCTGTGGCCAAATGCTGTCTCGTTCGTTGAAGCTCAGCCCCGCTAACGATTGAGCCAACCCCATGGATGAGGCCAGCGTAAGTGGCGCAGAGAAGGTCGTGGTCGAACTGTTCCACGTACTCACTACTCTCGGAGCGGTGCTGGACATGTGCTGGGTGGAAGGAGTCGTATAGATCGCTTGTGAACTCGTCGTTGTGGGTGTGCTCGAAGATACCACGCACGGAATTGACGCGGTCGGCATCACTGCCTTCGCGTCCACCAGCGCACTCGCTCCTTCCTCCTCTTCATCGCCCCCGCCGTCCTCGGGGTCTGGGCCAGTTGGCTGGTCCATTCGTAGAGACGGCCGACTCCGAGGAATCAACAACTGGTACTGGAGCGTGTCGAGAGGAGATACCCCTAAGATTTCGTCCTCCGCCGGGAACCAGGGTGGAAATGCTTCAGGGTGAATGGCCCGAATCTCCGAGCGAAATAGTCGGCTCCGCACTGCCATCTCTGTCCCGGCTCCAGCCAACCTACGGGCGTCCAAAATGGTGATCACTTGATCTAGATCCATCTTCTCGATGATCGCCTTGATCTGACGGGCCAGGTCGCCCACAATGTCTGGGCGTGATACTAAATCCTTCTCTCCGTGTCGAATAAGGGCCCCAAACATGATGAGCTAAAATATAGGCGAGAAAACTAACGAATAATGGGAAACCGAGAACGAACTAACGTGCCAACAGGACTTCGCGAGGGTCGTTACACGGGCGCAAAACAAGGAAAACTAGGTTCAAAACCTTTGACCCTACTTGAACTGACCCCAAACCTTTCCCGCTAATTGAAGCAAAAGGCTTCACTTTCTATACTCTTTTAACCCTCAGGTTCCAGGAAAGAAAAACACAAATTATAAGCGAAAATCAGAAATGAAATCAAGCGATAGTTTCTTACAAGCGACCCACTACAAGCAAAGCAATTCACAGTATTGTATTAAAGCAACAAAATTTTCAAGCAGCTACGTATAGAAAAATATGTCAGACGACCTGTTGAATACGAAAATTTCTCATTGTTTCAATTTGCAAAATGTATAAATGTACATGGAAATAGATACACTTGGCAAAGAAATTGTCGTCCGTGTTCGTCCAGCTTTAGATATAAATTATCAAAGTGATATGGAGTCGTTCTATCGACAACGATGCATCATACATCTGCCATTCCGAGAAGACATGAATTCATTATGGAATAGATTTGAGCACAGTGATGAAAATAGTTGGTTTTTGTTATATGAAGAAAATAAGTTAAGTAATTCAGAAATAGATACAACGTTTACAACCATATTCGAGTCAAACGAAGATAATGAAAACGACATTGAAGAAAACAATATACACTACAATGCCTTTGAATTAATATCCGCTCACCATAATGAAAAAAAAACACATGAATTAGGACAAAGACTGATCGATGTGGCATATGACTGGAATGGCGATAAATCTGTATATCCATCTTTTGAATTGATCAAAACTTTTTTGAAAGAATATAAGCACAATTAAAAATTAAAAGATATCAATAAACATGCCCAGATTGATAATCAAATAAAATTATTCAACGAGGAGCAATATATTTTAGAAATATGTCAACACAAAATTATGCAAATCAGTAATAATAATAATAGCACGGATAATGGTCACAAGGATGTTAAACGTATCATTATTCAAGGAAAAGCAGGTTCCGGGAAAAGCACTTTAATACATCGTATTGTGGAAGAAGTTTCTAGTAAACTTGGGCATGAAGCAATTGCCGTCACAGCACCCACGGGTGCAGCGGCTCTTAATATCAATGGCTCAAGACTGCACTCATTCTTTAAAATATCTATTTTTTATACTAAATTCGAATCGTTAAAGGACGAATCCTTGCAACATTTTCAATTAAAACATAAAAATTTGAGATTCGTAATAATTGATGAAATGTCACTGGTTGGCGTACGAATGCTTCATCAAGTAGAAAGAAGATGCAGTGATATATTCCCTGAAATCAATGAACCGTTTGGTGGATTATGTGTATTAATGTTTGGCGATTTTAGACAACTACCACCCGTAAAAGATGCGGCTATTTTTATGACAAAATTTAACGACTTTATGTCAACAAATGGTAGATTAGTTTTTGATAGTTTTCAGGTCTTCGTTGAGTTATCTATATCGCACCGACAAAAGGATGATACAACTTTTTCTCAGTTGTTAGATCATGTAGCCAGTGGAAATATAACATCTGAAGAATATAATATGTTAGTACAACGAAAAAGTATAAATTTAAACACTGAAGAACAAATTAAATTTAAAAACGCTATTCATTTTTGCCTACAAACGATATGGTCCAAAATATAAACAAGAATCGTCTACGTGAATTGAAAACACCAGTCGTAGTTATCAAAGCTCAAAATAAACCTAATTCTGCAACAAATAATGAAGATTGCTCCGGATTAGCAGATACTTTATTTCTCGCTATCGGGTGTAGAGTAATGTTACTTGATAATACTTGGGTTGAAGAAGGTTTAGTCAACGGATCATTAGGAAAAGTAAAGGCAATTCTTTACGAAGATGATGTCCAACCACTACATTTGCCTACATACATCTTAGTAGAATTTGATTCGTACAACGGGCCTTATCTTGACAAAAAATTATTTCCTGTGACTCCAATAATACGCACCTGGAAAAAATCAGGAATGAGACACACAAGAAAGCAATTTCCATGGAAATTAGCATACGGAATTACAATTCATAAATCCCAAGGCTTAACTTTACCATCAGCAATTGTTGATATAGGAATAAAAGAATTCTTGTCAGGATTGACATACGTTGCTTTAAACCGCGTTAGAAGTTCAAATGATGTAATGTTCTCATGTTTTTACGACAAAGGAAGATTTGATTTAATATCTAAATCACATTCAACAAAATTGAAATCAGAGTTCTTAAAAACACTTAGTAACAAAGTGTACGTTAGGGTGGTCCACTTTTTCAAAAATTTTTTGTATCTCGGGGGATCCATCGGAATCAGAAAGTTTGAGGTTTAAAATGAATTTTCCCGTAAACTAGAACTCAAAAAAATGATTTTAGATGGTGTCGATGGATTTTTGAAGTTTAAAAACGTGCTCCAAAAAAGAAGCAAAATCGGGCTATTATTCGATTTATTTCAAACTCTGTTTAGAGTGTAAATATAATCTTGACAATACATTTTCTTATGTGTTTTTGTCTGCAGAATCGAATGCCGTAGTCAGTTTTAACCTAGGAGCACAATTTCATTCAAAAAAATACACTTTTTCGATCGTTCTTTTTCGCAAATTCCGCAAAGTTCATTTTCGAGCGAGTGGCAAATGAACAGAAAAAATCTAGAAAATTTTTTGACACCACCAAAATTTAGGATTTTTTATGACGAATCCAATGGTATAAATTAGTATACACTTTGAAATTATTTTAATGCAGAAAAATACAACTTTATCCCAAAAAACGACATTACGAAAAATTGAAAAATCGAAAAGTGTATTAGTTTCTTCCAGGAAATGGCTAAGTAGAATCAACTATGGAAAAAATTGCATGAAACTATCTGATAGGTTTTTTTCTCACCTTTCCAACGCCGGTTTCAGAAGTTAAAAATTCGCAAGATTCGCTGAGATACAGCTATTTTTGTACGATGCATTTTTTAGGCTTAAAATTCAATAATTCTGAGCTAGCTCTATTCATTAAAAAACCAGCGAAGCAGAATTTAAGCTAAAAAATGCATCGTACAAAAATAGCTGTATCTCAGCGAATCTTGCGAATTTTTAACTTCTGAAACCGGCGTTGGAAAGGTGAGAAAAAAACCTATCAGATAGTTTCATGCAATTTTTTCCATAGTTGATTCTACTTAGCCATTTCCTGGAAGAAACTAATACACTTTTCGATTTTTCAATTTTTCGTAATGTCGTTTTTTGGGATAAAGTTGTATTTTTCTGCATTAAAATAATTTCAAAGTGTATACTAATTTATACCATTGGATTTGTCATAAAAAATCCTAAATTTTGGTGGTGTCAAAAAATTTTCTAGATTTTTTCTGTTCATTTGCCACTCGCTCGAAAATGAACTTTGCGGAATTTGCGAAAAAGAACGATCGAAAAAGTGTATTTTTTTGAATGAAATTGTGCTCCTAGGTCAAAACTGACTACGGCATTCGATTCTGCAGACAAAAACACATAAGAAAATGTATTGTCAAGATTATTTTTACACTCTAAACAGAGTTTGAAATAAATCGAATAATAGCCCGATTTTGCTTCTTTTTTGGAGCACGTTTTTAAACTTCAAAAATCCATCGACACCATCTAAAATCATTTTTTTGAGTTCTAGTTTACGGGAAAATTCATTTTAAACCTCAAACTTTCTGATTCCGATGGATCCCCCGAGATACAAAAAATTTTTGAAAAAGTGGACCACCCTAGTGTACGTATATCACCATTTCAATACCCGCATTTTATAATTCAATACTAAAATATGTAATATTCTTTTTATAGAAAAATTTGAAGAAATTGTCTTTTCAACTTCACAAAATGGTTCAATGCTGAGTGAAGATCGCTACGATATTCATTATACCATGTATTTTTAATCTAGCTGAGTAAAGATCGCGAGTAAATTTATATTATAGCTGAGTACCCAACCTAAAATATATAGAATTGATATAATCCGTTCCATCAATAAAATTACTCAATATTTATATAATTCATGTTATTTCGTATTCCTTTACTAAATCTGTTCTTTTACTACTTTCTAAAATTCTCTGAGAAGAAGACCAGGTCCCGTGGACCTGGTGCACCAGGTTAACGAAAATCCCCTAAGCACCTCCTATGAAGGATCTCCAACGTAGAGAAAAAAAAATTTCTCGAAGAAGTTGTGGCTAGGGCCAGACCGGCGACCTGGTGCACCAGGTCGACGGGACCCGGGTCTAGACCGGGGGTTGACAAGATATATACATTATATATACCTGGTATATACCTTGTGAACATTTAGTTTATATTTCTTGCTTTCTTAAAATGTGCAATATTCAGCCATATTACATCATAATTGCATCTAACAAATTTCATCTAAAAATATACAAGGGTGCATAAGGGACATTCCAAAATCTAATCAGTAATACATCTACACCCCAACTATATACCGAAAAAATTTCAGTTCGATTCATTAAATACTTTTCAAGTTATCGTAGCACAGCGTAACACCTCCAAAGTACGAAATGCCGTCATATCACGACTTCGCTGCGCTCAGCTTAATTAATATTTCAACAATATATTCTATTCAGTATGTTTTATTCATCAAAAAAAAATTGTTCAATATTATCGTCATCGAAGTTTTTGTTGGAGCTAATATTATCATTAAACTTATTATTGCAAGTCTTCTGCTTCATACATAAACAAAATGAGCAACACGAAATTTTCATTTTATTACATATACATGTAATTTTGTTGCAAACTTTGCAAGTACAGGTACACACAGTGTAGGTATTAGATCATTATTCTCTTGAATGTAGCCGAAGTCTAATGGATCTACTTCATAATCTCCATTCAAATAATTCATTTGCGAATATAACAGAAAGTAAGCTCTTTTTATGTGCAATTAAATGTTACTTGATGTAGCAGGTAACGCATCTATCAATACACTTTTTTCATCAAAATAGCGGTCAAGTCGTAAATCATCAAATTTTTTACATGCAGATGTTTTATTAACGACTGCCGCTAAATATTCCTCAGCTAATAAAGAGTCTTCAAATATATCTGAATAATTTACAAACATATAAATGAAATTTTCGGTTGTAATGAAATTTACCAGAATTATTCAAATTATTATAATTTATTGTATACCTTTGCCAAAATCACTTGAATACTTCGTTGGAATTGCTTGTAAAGCTTTAAACTTGGTACCAACTTTACTGGTGTAATCGGGCCCAGTTAAATGGTGCACAGCTGGCAATACTTGGCATAAATCATTGCCATGATAAATGACGAAAGAATGTATTGGTACATTTCTCGAAGTGTTATCAATCCCAGCTTGAATCCATAGGATCTGAATTAATTATAATTCGTCAAATTGAAAGTTCAATATTAGGATTCGATTTTAATTGTAAAAAAATTGACTTTCTTTACGAAGAGTTCGACGGTCCCCACGAACAGTAGCACGTTTCAATTTTCGGACGAAGAATAGCACTGCCTCAAAATTTATGGTACAGACTAACACGTTGAAAGATTTCCCGACGAAAACTTACACGTTTCAAGGTTTTTTAAGGAAAACTAGCACGTTAAAAGTTTCTTTTACAATAACTAGAACGTTTGAAACTTCATTATAAAAAAATGGCCCGTTTCAATTTTCGTTGCAGGAATAATTTTTAATATTTAAAAAAATTAGACTATTACGTTTTTAACAGTTTTTTATTATAAAAAAAATGTCATTTTGCAATTTAAGTCAAATAAAAAGTTATTTGTTGTCAATACAATTTTTTAACAGTTTTTCTTTTTTTTCTAAAAAAATTTTTAATGTAACAAAAATAAATGGCGTCGTTGCACAAAACTCTTTTCTTAGAATTAAATAAAAAATAAATTACATTGTAAAAAGAAAGTAGAAGATTTGAAAAAAATATTTTTATGAGATGATATCATTGTAAAAATCAATGCAATCATGAGGAATTATATTTTTTTTCATCATTGTTTTTATGTCTTCAACTTTCTTTTCGGATAGAGGTAATTTGTACCTATAAGTTCTAATTGAAAATTGTCAACTTCATCGAGAGTTGTAAACCTTTTTAGCACATTCACTCGGGATGGTTAATATTTCAGATTCGACCGTACGTGAACTTGAATGCTGTCAGGTTTTATAACAATTTCTCGTAATGTCGAAATTTTTAAAGGACCCCAGTTAAAAAGATGCGAAAGATTCAGAAAATCGTAAATGTCGGACTGTTTTTTCTCTAGCACAGTATAATTATCTTTGATTTTGCATTCCAGCATTATTTGGCACCATTGCCTTTGAGTGAAAATCGATTTATTTTTGGCATGATCTTCGATCCTCGCGTGCATTGAATCGCCATCGGCTTGTGTGTGACCAACCTCCAGGTACCTGAAAAGATTATATGATGTAGATTGTACATTTTTACTTAAATTAAAAAACAAAGGATAGATTTTTCTTAGAAATTGTCCAAACTTTCATGAAGAATATATTCCAAAGTGATCTGAGCACTTTGGAGGCTTGAGCAATTAAAATAAGGTTCAAAAAGCACAAAAACTCAAAATCTACTCTAGTTCGATCAGGACTTAAATTTCCTAAATTACTCAAAAAGTTTCTTTGAGATGTCAACTACTATCTACTAAGTTTGTATAATGATCTGACAAGTTTAACGGTCTATAGATAATGAAGTATGGCGAAAAACGTGCAAAAAAGGGCTTAAAACGCGTAAAATAGAAAAAACAAACCTTTTTTAATCCTTTTTTGCAGACCGTTAGACATGTCAGCCCATTACAAAAATTTAGCAGGTAGTAATTGACATTTCGAAGAAACTTTAACTTTCAGATAATATAAGAACGGCTTTAATATTGCGCTAAAATAAATGAACTTCGCAAAAATTTATGAATTATTTACCTGTGCGTTATCGAAACTTTATATTTTCTGGCTGCTTTAAAATACATACTGAATAGCATTTGTTCCGATTCTGCCCTGCGCAGTTATCGCTATGTAAAATAAAATTTTTAACTCCCTTTCCACTTTTTTTCATGATGAAATCTAATAGAAACGATGCGATCTCGTTAGCACCCTTACGGCCAATTGTCTCATTCCAGACATTGCAATGCCCTAAATTAACGCCAAGTTCGAAGATGGTAAAATTCAAGACGTACAACTTCGACATATAATATACAGGTCCTATGTCGACTTTAGGTAGTAATAATAATTTTTCAACATCAAAATTGGCCACACAGAGTGTAGGGTCCTTATTGGATCACATTTTATCGGCTTTCATCATTTGTCGAACGATTTCTTTACATTTCAAATGTGATTTCATTTCAGTCATCTTTTTTTGTTTTTCAGGTTCAGTTAGGCGTGAATACACTTCGCACTTTTCGCACCTGTAAACGAATAAATATATTATAAATTATTAATCTTTATATGGAGTGTGATATTACATTATGACACACGGTATAATGCATATCATGTGAAAATTCCGAACACCGCGCGGGACGGGTCGGTGATAAATAAATTTACTACATTTTAGACAGGCGGAAAACATTATTATGCATTTAAAAATCGTCTTGATTGCATGATCGTATAATACCGTTCATACAGTTAAATAATTTGATTGTTATTTGAAAAAAAAAATTAGCCCATCAAAGAGTTGACCATATTCTTAGCGTGCATAGAAGGATAATTGAACGCGATATACGACAGCTCGCTGAAACGCTCGAAATGAAAGTCTGCCCTTTTTTCGTAATTAAAAATATAGAAAATCTTTCAAAATAAATTTTCTTACTTGTCTTTTTTAGGAACATAAAATGCGAGGTTGTACTCTTCACAGATATTTTACTGTAATATTGTTCATTCGGATACTCCGTAATTCCTTTACGATCACATTCAATTTCAAAAAGGCGATACATTTTCGAAATGTTCAGATCTCCATCTAAATATTGTTTGTTGATAGTCGAACGACAATAGCGTGATTCGATCTTTGGGAATGATTCTATATGACGCCGCACGGCTTCTTTTTGGATTTCTACAATTGTTTTGTGATTTTTATGTTTACCCATTTTGCAGCCGGGACTATTTTTCAAATCAATTTCTTCAAATTTTTTTCTGTCGGCTGTTCTGATCCATTGATTCGAAATACCTATTGAAATTAAAAATAGAAGTTTTAATTTGGATTTTGGATTTTAAATTTGATTTTTGTCACTGTATTCATACATACCCAGAGTACTCAAAAAGTTTGTTGGGCAAACTTTCACAAAAGACGAACCTTTGGGTAAAGTGAAAAAATGCGAAATAGCTTTTTTATTCATATCTAATTCGGAGAAATTTTCAACTCTGCTTGGATTTGTCCAGATGTTGATGCATTTCCATTGCTTGGTACGATCAGCTTTAACCCAAAAAATCGAAAAAGCTCTTTGTCGCTCTTCAAGTGATAACGCAGTGCTGGATTGGAAGCGACAGTTGATGTCACAACCTGGGCCCATTTCTCGTGGTTTTATAATTTTTCCGTCTCGGAAAATTCCTTCATTGCCCTGATTGCGGGCTTTCTTGGCTTGAAAATCTATCCAAGAAGATTCATCACGAATTCGCTTTCTTGTCAGCTTTTTTGGTTGTCCTTTTTGTTGATTGACTTTACGACAGATTTTTTCGTATGAGAGGCATTCGTGAGAAATTTCTTCCACTAAAAAATAAAATAATTCTATATAATAATAAAAAACGAACTTATTTTGTACTTATTTTTTGATTTACTACAAGCTCACCACTTGATACATCATTTTGAGATTCAGGCTGTAATTTTTCAAGTTGTGATGCCAATGAGTGTTGCGAGTCTTCAATGTTTAGTACTTCTGCTGATATCGTACTGCTAGGATCTAGTTAATAATACTCGAATGAATAGTTATATATGTTACCGGCAAAACCCGCTTTTAGGCAAAAGTGACTTTTGCCTAGGCAAAAACAAAAATGCCTAAAATTTTAGGCAAAACCCGCAATGCCTAAAAAATTTTAGGCATTACTGTAAACATTAACACGTTAGTATACGATTAGTCAGCTTCTAAGTCGGACTTATTTGTTAGTTGTGTTTGTAACCCAATATGGATACAGCTTATACTCTCACTAGTTACTTAACTTAAAATAAAGTAAAAA